CCGACCCTCCATCCCCACGACAGGAAGTAAAAGGAGTTTCTAAATGTGTTTCAATGCTGCTGGGAAATGAAAATAATCGTGTGTTGTGTATATAAATAAACATATATATATATACATATTCATATATGTTTATATATGTGATGGGTTCAGTTTTGTTGTATCCCAGTGGTATGTATGTATATATATATATATACAATTTAACGCCATCTGTTTTTGTGTTTTTCTTCTCTCAAAACTGAAAAAAAAATTGGAAAAAATCCCTGGATTTCAGTCTGGAGTTGAAGCAGAGAAGTACGTTCACTTCAGAAGAGTTAAGACGTGAATGGAGTTGAAGGAGAAGCTGTTTATATATATATTTTTTTCTCGATCTTTTTGACTCGTTCAAACTTATTTAATCCTTAAATAATCATTTTTATGCTTTTAAGAAAAGCATAAAAAGTAGCATCTTATCTCTCACTGTCAGATTAACGTAGTTTTGGTTTAATTCAGTTGTTTAGTCAGACCCGTGTTCACAGCGCAGGAACATCTCGTCCCTCTGTTGAACGTTTGTTTACCCGTCTACACAAATATCATATGTTGGTTCTGTGGAAAGGACAAAAACAACGCTCAGGGGAGACGGGGGACGCAGCCGTGTCCAGGCCCAGGCAGCTCAGGAAATCAGAATGCATCAAAAGTAAAGTCTTTATTGATGAGTGGGCAAAAGAACCACCTCAGTTAAACTGTACACTTACAGGGTATCATCTGGCAGAAGTTTGCCAGACGTAAAAAGGATGGACCTCGATTGACTTTGTCTTTCCACATCGACTTCTGTACAAGTTGTAATCCTCAGTTCTGGATCTATGAAATGCAGTAGAATGCATGCTGTTACAGTATGCTGTGCAAGTGTCCACATTTAGAAAAACCGACCGCACAAATACTGTATATCTATACTTAACATACTGTAGAGTTCTATCCAGCCTTGAGACGTGTTGACTTAAGGCTGGTGACATTAAGGTTGAGCAGAAAGGTCTGAAAGGTCCTGGAAACATTCACATTCACTTTGCATCATCAGCACTTTGTTTTGTTTTTTGTTTTGTTTTTTCTCCTTTAATCTTATAACACTACTTAAAAACACATTCCAAATGTCATTAATTGCAAATGTTTCATTTTCAGATTCTTTTTTGAAAGTTGAAATTTACATTATCATTCATTAAATTCTATGATCTCATTGCAATATATATATTTTTTCTAATTTAATTTGTTCCCTTATTTGAATTTCTTTTGTACGTTACAATTAGGATTAACACTGGTTAGCATTAGCTACATAAAACTTAGGGATGCACGATATTGTCGGATGATAGTGTGTAATTAAAACATAGTAAATTGACTGGTGAATGAAGTGAGGTGAGAAAAACAGCCTCCAGTCTTTTCACACTCCTGATATCATACCCCAGCAGACACATTAGCATAGGAGCTAAAAACAGCTAGCCACAGCTAACAGAGCTCACCTTCATCAGTCTGGAGGTTTTCAGCATGTTGGAGGGCGAAAACACTGTTTAAATTTGCCAACTGTGCTCAACATAAGGTCCACGCTTCTCAAGGAAACAACTTTAATGAGCTGTTTGAAAGGGAGCCATCGAAAATGAGCCGTAATGAGCGTGAAACAGACGTAGCCGCAGTAGCAGCAGCTAGCACAGAGGCTAAATATGGAGGCTAAGCGGTTTACCAGACAAAAAGGCAATAAATTATAAAATAATCCTTATATTGACGTAAGCAAAAGGTCATATTGGAAATACTTTAAAATGAAACATAATATAAGTACAAATAATAAATTCATATAATTATTGTATTAGCTGAAAAAAACGTCATATTGGAAATACTTTAAAATGAAATATAACTACAAATAATAAATTCATATAATTGTTGTATTAGCTGAAAAAAACAATATCGTGCATCCCTGATAAAATTCATCACAAGAAAGAATTTCCATGTCTATAATTTGTAATTTTTTTTTTTTAACGTCCCAACATGGCGACTGTTTTTATATTATTCTCCGTTATACTGGACTCTATTTTGTCATCATTGTTCATCTCTTTTTCTTCTTCTTCACCTTTTTCATCCTTTTTCCTCTTCTTTCTCACCCACGCACACACACACACACTCACACTCACTCACACACACACAAACAAATGCTATATAAAAACACACAGGCAGGAATATACATTCCTGTACAGTCTATACAATATCAAATCAAGTCATATTTCAAAATAGTGTCATCTGCTTAACATGTATCGTTTACAAAGTAAAGGAAAACAGGCAATTGTTTTTTTTTTATGATACAAAGAAACCCAGCACACCCTTAAATTAAGTTCCAAAAAAAAAAAAAAAAAAATCAAGCATGTTTGGGGCTTTAAAGTTCACACCAGCTTTTTGACGTGTGTCCAGGGGTCACGGGGTCATTGGGGTCCAGTCTGTGGAGCGCAGTCTCGGTGGATTTGACCAAAAAGATGTCCGTGAGTTGCGTGATCCGACGCAGACGCCCGTCGTGTTTCAGAGTCTGTAACGTTCTGATCGACCCTTCACTTTCACAGTCCGCTGCACATTTTTCAAAGAATGTAAACCTGTGAGTCTGCCTCGCGCCTCCTGTGACACGGACACTATTTGTCAGTTGAAAACTCAGGGGCGGATCCCTGTGAAATAAGGCAACATCAATTTAAAATGGCATCTGTCACACTTAGTTGGAGCAGTGATTGTTGGGATCTCTCCCAGCGATTTATCGTACAGTACATCGTCAGAAAAAAAACGAACCGTGAAAGAGTCACCCCCCCTCTCCTCCCGGGGGTGGGGGGGCGCCGCCGGCCCCCGTTTGGAACCTTTACAGGAGAAACGTGTTTTTTCGTTTCCCAACATTCTTCATGGAGCAGCTCCGTGTCTGCATTTGTTGACAAACATTTTCAATCTTGTTGTGCAAAACAACAAAACAGACACCGACGCTTCGGCCAAGGTGCATTACATCGCGTTCCCTTAAAAACCTGAAACATTCACTTGGTTAGGCTGACTTTGTATCACATGATGCAGTAGGCCTCGTCCTGGGGTAAGTGTTGTTTAGTCCTCCAGTAGGTGGGCAGGTGGGCTCTCAGCACTTTCCTCAGGTCCTCGTTGAGCAGGAGACAGAAAATGGGGTTGACCCCGGCCTGGGCAAAACTCATCCACACTGTGACGGACAGGTACCTGTGAGGAATGGTGCAGGACTTGACGAACACCCTCCAGAAGCAGGCCACGATGTAGGGGGCCCACAGGACCAGGAAGAGCAGCGTGATGGTGTAGAACATCCTGCCCAGCCTCCGCTCTGACCTCACCTCTTCCATCCCAAGCAGCCGCCGGTGTTGATTGTGTAAGTTTTGTCTGATACCCAACAGAGTGGGAGGCATTGGACCGCGACCAAACCCTGCAATCCAGTTAGCTGCAGCCTGACCTGTGGCGCCAGGACCGTGAAAGGTCCAGTTCTGGCTGATGGCTGGTACTAGCTGGACGGGTTTCATCTTGCGATGCCTGTACTCAAACAGCAGCAGCTTGGCATAGAACCCGTGGGTGGCCAGGACCACCACGGCTAGCATGAGCATGAAGCCCAGCGTGTCGTTGGTCTTCAGGTAACGGTGCTCAAAAATACACTGATCTTCATCACGGATGAACTTGTACGTCCCCACGTCAAAAACGGGCGGGAAGGCCATGGCGACGGCGAGTGTCCACACCATGCAGATGATGGCGGCACAGGTCCAGATGGTCATACGTTTGGCGTAGAATCGGTGATGGGCGATGGCAAGGTAGCGCGTGACGGCCACGCAGAACAGCATGAAGGCAGCGTGAAAGCAAAACAGCACGGCCATGAAGGCCACGACTTTACAGCTCAAGGCGCTGTAAGTCCAGGCCGAGCTGTTGTGGACGGACACCAGCACGAAGGGAAAGCAGGCGGCCGAACGAACCGCATCAGCCAGGCACAAATCCAGGAGAAAGAAATAGGGGGCCTTGTGGAGAGTCCGGTCTCGGAGGACCAGCAGGGAGACCAGGAGGTTTCCGACCAGGCTGACACAGATGATCAATCCCAAAAAGACCAGCTTAAAGTAGGCGGACATATTTGTGGCAGAGACGCCCCCACTGTTGCTGCCGCCGTCACTGCTGCTGCCGCCGCTGCTGCTGCTGCCGCCGCCGCTGCTCCCTCTTGCCAGTCCACTCTGCGAAGCCAGCACAGCCAGCAAACTGCCCGGGCCGTCGATGGCAAAGCTCTGGTTAGCCATTCTCTCTCCTCCTCGCTCCTCAGGAGCCCGCTGCCCGCCTCGGCTCTGTACCCACTCTACTGATCCACCTATAGGCGTCCGATCCCACGGTCTTTACAGAGAGCGGCTGTGAGGATCTGTTCTACCTAACGGACTCATCTTCCCTCTTTGTCCACAAGCACATCACCTGCAAGAGAGACACACACATATTTTTTGGGGGTTGTTTTTGAAGCAGCGGAGAAGGAGCTGTGCTGTGAGCATGTGACGTCTACGGCCGTCGAATGACTGGAAAAAATTCAGATTCTGAAGGCACGTACGCGGAAGTTCCGTGTGGGGCCACAGAGTGGAGATGTGTGCCTTCATGACTGTGCGAGGCTGGGATCAGATCAGCAGCTCTACAGCATGCCAGCTCCTCGGCTCTCTCTGTAATTACCTCGCCCGTTGCTAAGATACAACAGCTCACATACTTTGTGCAAGTGTGGGTGTTTGAGTGAATGCACGGGGGTGTACTGGGGAGGAGGGGGGGCGGGTGTG